AAATATCAAACATTTTGGCATATCATGGAACAGGTATTTTCCATCAGATATTGATATGTTGAACTTTAAGTCCTTACAGAACATGAAGCAAAAATAATTATATAAAAGTAGAAATAAGCATTTACATATTTTTACAAAGAAATTTAGAAACCTAATCAAATACGGAATTGTAAGTCCTTATATTAGGGAGACAACACGATATTTACAGATGTGGGTCTGGTTTCTTTCACTAATAAGTGTATCTTCAGGGGGCATCCACTTAAATATGAAGCCTTCAAGTTTATCATTCTTTATAGCTGAGTAGTACTCCATTATATAAAAGTACCACATCTTTTTAAAAAAAATTTTAAAATTTTTATTTATTTTTTTTACATCTTTTTCACCCATTCCACATGTGACAGGCGTTTTGGTTGTTTCCAAGTTCTGGCTATTACTACATCACACTTTAAACTTTGAAATTATTGTGGCATTACAGAAAGTAAGCAGCGGAGATCTTTCACAGAAGTCCCGCGTGTCTTTGACTCAGTTTCCCCTGTTGGTCACATCTTACATGAATTGTAACACGGTGTCAGAACCAAGATTTGAAATTTGCGCTGTTTGGGTGTCTTTGTGGAGGCCATCATGGTTTTAAATGCTAATTCTTGAAGTTTTAAGATGGCAATCATCAAGCCAAAGGAAGGCTTTAAAAAGTGCTCCTTATTCCAGTAGCCTTTGGCATCGGTGTTGTTCTGTTGAGACAGTGTTGCTACGATTTTGGGTTGTGTGTGAGCAGACTTCTGACCATTTTGCCTCCCTCTGGAGTGGGCGGGGTGTAGTGTGCACCACCTTGCCTAATTGTCTTTCTACTTTTGAGTTTATTTTGAAACTCCTTGAAAATTTTAGCATGTTAATCATATATCTAGCCAAGATTTCAGCTTTAATCGTGAGTTTATCTTCATGAAAATTTTTATTTTATTTGTACTGGGAATCGAACCAGGGACCTCGTGCTGCTGGGCAGGTGTTGTGTTATATCCCCAGCCCTACATTGTTTTTTAAAAGATACTTAGAGATTCAGAAAAGAGAAAGTTGAATGTGCTATATGTTGCCCCATTATTTACTTTCACTTATCAGGATATTTATTTTAATTTTTTAGATTAAAATCAGTTTCAGTAATTAATGTTTTATTGAAAATAAAATTGTATTTCCTTAAATTTATTATACATATTATTTATTATCATACAGATTTTTATGGAGACTAAAAAGATGGTTATAATTTTTTTAAAATGTAGTGCCTGCCCTTTTAAAATGATCATTTTGAAGGCCCGAATGCCTTGCAGCTCTTTTGGTATTTAGGTTTCTAAAGACGTCTATAGACCGTCCATGAGTGAAGTGCCCCATCTGGGAAGGGCCGGGCTGTGGCTTGGCTGCGCGCTCCCGGGAGGGTTGGTGGCCGTGATGCAGACCTCCCAGGCCCAGCCGGAGGGCAGCTGGCGGCCGAAGTCCCTGCGCTCTGGGCCTGCTGGGCAGTGGTCGCCGGAGTTCCCATGCCACACGCGCGCGCGGGAGCCCGCCCCAGCCCGGCCTCCGTGGGTGGGCTGGACGGCGCGCGTCCCAGCTGGCTGAGCCCAAGCCTGAGCCCCGCGCTCCGCCCTCCTCCCTGCATGCTGCCTGCGGCCCCCTTGGCCCTTGCTCGCTTGCTCGCAGCTGGCAGAGCCGGGAGGACTGCAGCGTGCGCCCTGGCCTGGGTGCCGGACGCCGGGCGAGCACCCGCTGCAGTCGCTGAGCGCCCCTGCTCGCTGTCCCGTGGAGCTCTTACCCGCTGTCGGTGCAGAGTGCCTGGTGCGCGGATGGAGCAGGGCTGAGGTGTACCTCTAGGGCACGAGAGCGCGGAGGCGAGGCTCAAGGTCGCCTTCATTCTCTTGAGCGCTGCTTTTTGGTTTGTCTGCTAAGTGGGCAGCGAGGGAGGGACAGCAGGAGAGAAGCGCGCCGGGCGAGCGGTCTGCACCCCTGCGCTGCACAGCCGGTGTCCAGCCGGTGGCCAGCTGTGCTGTGCCCTCCGGGCCACGCTGCTCTGGCGTCTTCCTCCCGCGAGCTCTGCGTGACCTCTAGTGGCCTTAGCTGAGCAGTCTGTGGGCCCCAGGCCTCGGAGCAGCGTCCCGTGAAGCCGGCTGTGTTGCCAGGCGGGGCGGATGCGTCTGGGCAAGCTGCGAGGGCCACAGAGCTGCCATGTCCTGCCTGGCGGGTAGGTGGGCGGGCGGCCTCTGGGGAGGAGCTGTGGCTGGGCCTGCTGCAGTCTGGCCTCTTGGCGAGAGGAGGAGGGACTTCAAAGTGAAGGAAGCTTTTATTTTTCAGTTAATTGTAAGTTTTCATGTTCTAGGTGATTCGATCTGGGCAGAAGCTACGGAAAAAATCTACTGACACAGGGGAGAAACGGGGAGGCTGGTTCAGTGGGTTCTGGGGTAAGAAGGAGTCTAAGAAAAAAGACGAAGAATCACTGATTCCTGAAAGTAAGTTCCAAATCTGATAATTTATTATATATTCATGAGAAAAAATTATGTAAATGATAACTTACCCCTTCAGTTGAATTTTATTTAAGAGCACTTTTATTTTGAACTAAAAGCAGCTCGGTATACTAAACATAAGTACATTTATCTAAAATAAAACTTTCTTGAGAAAAATTACATGAAATTTAAAATGTTCAAATTTAGAGGCTTCAGCATTTAGCACTTACTGTTACCTTTTGCTCGAATATTTAATGGTAAGTCTCCGTCCAGTTGTATGCTGCTCAGGCAGTTTTGAGATCCTTTTGAGAGCAGAGAGAGCTCCTGCCCACTGGCTCTTTGCCTTTACAGAAAGGTGAGCAGGGGCGTGTCCTTTAGTCGCAGCCGGCTGATCTGTCCTGTCATTTGTGCCTGTCGATTTTAGGACAGTGTCTTGCCTCTTTGATTACATCTGTACAACTGAAGAAGTTAATTTCTTAAACGATTGTCGTTTCCTCGTAGCTATTGATGACCTTATGACCCCAGAGGAGAAAGATAAGCTCTTCACGGCCATTGGTTATAGCGAGAGCACCCACAACCTGACTTTACCCAAGCAGGTAATGCACGGGCGGCTTCAGAGCCGCGTCAGCTCATTGTACCGTACTCTCCTGTGTTGGATTAAACAAGTGATTGGCTTCTGGACTGTTGGAAGTATGCCGTCATCGGCCTCTGCTGCCCTCTTCAGTTGCTAGAGGCGTCAGTCCTTACCAGTTAAAATTTTCCCTTCAACTTTAGATTTGTTTCATGAATGTAAGAATAATCTGATAATAAGTACTTATTATAGTTTAGGTTTCAGTCTTTAAAACTTCTTTTCTTGTGAAATATGGCTCTTATCAGAGTGATAGAAACTAGACTTACCTAGCTCACTCAATTGGTCAGAAAGGAAGCAGGTACCCTGCAGAGTCGCGGCTGGGCGTGATGGGGCCGGCCCCCGTGCACCTGCTGGTGTGGGGCCTCAGCCTCACAGCCTCCGCCTGCGCCTTTCAGATGCCTCCGGCTGAGTTACAGCTGGGGTTCAGGGTCCTTGGCCTGGGGGTTCAGTCCTGCAGCTAGCTGTGACCCAGCAGCCGCTGTGGGTCAGTTCCCTTCCTCCGGCCACCAGGCAGACCTGTCTTTTCTTTGTTCTTGGTACTTTCTGCAGGATCTCACTGCACTGCTCGGACCAGCAGTGATCCTGTTTTCAAGCCTCCCAGCACTGGGATGACAGGCCACGCCTGGACTCAGTCTCTGGCTCTGCGTGCCCAGGGTGGGCCCGCGCAGCTTGTGGCGCTTAGTCCACTGAGCAGTTTCATTGGCCCTGACGTTTCTTACTTTATTACTATCATTTTTGTTTTAAGTCATGATTACTCCCTTTAAAACTTAAGAGAAGTGAACTTTTGGATCTTTTATGAATATCTGGCTAAGAGGAAATTTTGTTAACTATTCTGCTATTCTTCGTTTGTGGTAATTATGTGGACTCCAGACCCCCCAGGTTGCTAGGTCACTTTATCATTTAGCATGTTTGAGAAGAAACTACTAAAGATTATGTAAAGTCTAACAATTTTCATTTTTTTATCTTTAGTATGTTGCCTACATAATGACCCTGAAGTTAGTAAGCACTTCTATTGTAATCAGAGAAAACACGAATATTCCAGAAATACTAAAAATCCAGATAATTGGCCTGGGCACTCAAATATCTCAGCGGCCAGGAGCGCAAGCCCTTAAGTAAGTTTTTAAAAACTTATTTCAGTTTTTAGCTTTAATAATGATTGTAGGCCAAAAGGTATGATGTGTTATTCAGCATAGAAAAGCTTATTAACCTGTCTTTGAAGTTTCTTCTCTTTGTATATGCCAAGACACGCATTTGTGTTTCACTCACCGTTGAGCTGCACAGGGAGCTCATCATTTATTCTGTTCTTCCTGCTTCATGAATGTAGCCCCATACTGTGGAAGCTATGTGTAGGCATAGTGAGCTTTCATTTTTAAGAAGTGTACGCTGTGGTTGGTAAGATGCACAAGATGATAATTCAGGAGCTGTATAACATCAAGTGAGGTGGTGCTAGGAGATTCAGCACCTTGGAGTCATGCTGAGCAGGCTCAGTGGTGCAAGGGGCTGAGCCCAAGAAGCCTCAGCGGGCTGGCAGGGAAGGGCACGAGGACAAGCAGGGAAGGGGCTATGGGTGGCGAGGCTGGTGTGGGAAGAGGCAGGTGAGCTCTGTTTTGTGTGAGTTTTTATTCACAAAACAGTGATGGGAACCACTGTAGCCCTTGGGGTTGGCTAAAGTGAGCCTTTCCAGTGGGTGATCAGTAATAAAGACAGCCACAAGAGGAGCAGCGTAGGCAGGCAGATGGCGTGGTTAAGTGAAAGCCAGGGTAACGAGGCTGGATTTCACTTCTGAGTAACGGGCTGAGGCCTGATTCTTGGACAGCTGTTCTAAAGAAAAGTTGTGTTTCAACCCAGTAAATTACAAAGGCTCTTAAGATTTTCTCATTGTTTTTTGGACTGCAGGGTAGAAGCAAAGTTAGAACACTGGTATATCACAGGTCTGAGACAGCAAGATATCGTACCATCCCTTGTGGCTTCACTTGGCGACACGTCATCATCCTTGCTTAAAATTGAGTTTGAAACCAATCCAGAGAGCAGCCCTGCTGAGCAGACGCTGGTTGTCCAGTCCCAGCCCGTGGAGGTCATCTATGATGCTGTAGGTGCGGGGCAGTGGGCTCCTTGTGGACGCCGCCTGGCCTTGAGTGTTGGCTTGTTTCTTATCTGTCATACTTAATGTTCATTACCATGTGCATTTCTGAAGGTTTTTCTTGTTTCAAAAGCAACCAATTTTAATTTCTCATATGCTATTGCTGTTTTTTGCCTAAGAAAAACTTCTATTTCTGTTGAATTTAAAAACCTAATATATTTAAAGAGCGATGTGTTTATTGTGCCAAGGACTGCTGATTAGTTACTCGCTGCTTTCTTACTCCTTTGCTTTCCCAAGAGCTTAAGGAGTGGGTGTAGGAATGAGAGTTCCCAGTGCTGTTTATGTGGGAACAAGCACTGAGGTTCAGGGGTTCCTGACAATGCTGCCCAGCTTGGTGTCTGCGCCCCGCCAGTCACTAGCCTGCCCTCACTGCCACCTCTCCCCTTGCCACCGCACCCTCTTCACCTTCATGTGCGTCCCCGCGGGGGTCGGAGATGAGTCCCCAGCGTACACAGAAGTCATACGTAAACACTCCAGAAATCACTGTGTTCCCTAACTTCTAAAAATGTTATGATTTTGGTAAAATACACTGAACAAAATTTACCATGTTGTCTTTTAAAATAATCGTTTAGCAGTGGTAAGCACTTTCGTGGGTTCTATGGCCAGTCCCCAGAATCTTTCTCATCTTACAAAAATCCTGTTTTAAAATTAATATTCAACTTTTTCTTATAAATAAGGGCTGAACGGTTTTTCTCTTACTTCCTATCTGAACTTCAGAGTACAACAAAATCCCATCGCAGTGTTTGAGGGGAGGCGGCCTCTGCAGCTACATCCGTGTCACCGTGCCCCAGGCTGCAGTGGGCGCTGTGGTGCTGTGCGGAGAGGCCTGCTTGCCTGTCCTGGCCCCAGTGGGCGGGGGAGGAGGACAGGAGAGCTTTCATTTCAAAGCCATAGCTGTTGTAGACCAACGTGAAGTCTTAAAAAGTTATGAAGAGAGGTGTGTATGAATTGGTTGTGTTTTCAAATTCTTTTACAGAAAACCATCAATGCAGTGGTTGATTTCTTTCAGTCAAATAGGGGATTGGATCTTGAGCAAATAACATCAGCTACTTTGATGAAGCTCGAAGAAATAAAAGAGAGAACGGCTACAGGTAGAGAATTTGAGTGTCTACTTGAAAAACGTGTATTCTTATGTCTGTATGTTTAAGTGGCGTAGGGTTCTTCTGCTTGTGTGGATGGTGCAGTGGACACAGCTTACTGACACTGAAATCCAGGGGCTGAGGCCTTAGCTCAGTGACACAGCGCTTGGGAGTCCGCGGGAGGCTTTGGGTTCAGTCCTCAACGCCAAAAGATGGAGAAAAGCACCACAGGCAGAGAGGACAGAAAACCTAGGCAGCTCACACCGAAATGCGCTTTCTAACCAGGCGGGAAGAGAGCCGCTGCGTGGGGGCGCGGGCTTGGCCTGCCTCCTGCCGAGGACTGTGCTCCGGGGGACTTGAGCTGGAGGCGCCGCCACCCGCCTGGGGAGGCTGCTCGCCGCATGTGGGTGTAGGTTGGTGCCTTAGCTCAGGCCAGCTTATTACCTGGCGCTGCTCTGTAAAGCACTAGTGCTGTGCTGGTGCCGTGCGTCCTCTCTGCGCTGTGTCGTGATGTTTTCGTGGACTGTGTGCAGGTTCCTCCTCAGCTGAGGACTGGCGGTCCTCCTGAATGCCTGGCGCCACGTTGCCTAGTCTAGCTAATGGTGGGATTATGTATTTCAGCCCAATCATTTCATCTTCCATTTTTTTTTCAGGACTTACACATATTATTGAGACTCGAAAAGTCCTCGATTTAAGGATAAATCTAAAGCCTTCTTATCTAATAGTTCCACAGACAGGTTTCCACCATGAAAAGTCGAATCTTCTCATTTTAGATTTTGGTACCTTCCAGGTAGGTGTCTATGTCTCTGCATTTGGCTGTCTTTGACGAGGTTGCTAGCTCACCATCTGATAGCTTGGTCTGTTTACACATTTTCTTTATTACATATTTCAGCTTAAGCATTTCATCCTGCGTGTTTTTCTTTCAGGACTTGCACCTATTTCTGAGGCTTGAAAAGTACTTGATTTAACGTTAAATCTAAAGCCTTCCTGTCTGATAGCTGCAGACAGGTTTTCACCACAAAAAGTGAAACTCCCTCAGAGTTAAGCTGAACGAAGACTTTTTCTTAGCATTTGTCAGGCTGTCCCTAGAAGACTCAGTGTGAGTGCAGGTAGCTCCTGGCGGAGTGCTTGCAGTGGCTCCTCAGTGCATTTCGTGGCCTGTTAGACAAGGACCCTGGAGTTTCCCTGATAGGTGGTTTCGCACTGAGGATGGGATTGCCCTGTCCTTTCCTCAGTGGGGAGACTCAGTCTTCGTTCTCGTGGTTTCTCAAGGTTAGCTGTACAGCTGCATGTCACCTGTGTGCTCGTTCCTGGGAGACTGTGTGCGTGCGCTGTGTTCGTGTCGTCACTGCCAGTACCTTAGGGGAACAGAAGAACCCTCAATTGTGGGTTCTGAATCTCGTGGAATCTCAGCCTTTGGGAGAAGCGTGAAGCTTTCAAAAAAGCGGTCCTGAGCTGATCTTTGCTTCCCCGGGAGGGGGGAGGGAAGGAGGCCTGGACGCTGACTCCTCCCGGCCTGAGTGCTGTCGCGAAACAGTGGGGAGCAGGAGTGAAGCGCTGCTGCTGCTGCTGCTGCTGCTGCTGCTTCAGGGTGCGGGGTGGGCGGGGGCACAGAGCCCTCCTGAGAGGTGGCTCCCTGAGGAAGAGGGGTGGCTTGAGGCAACAGCTGTGTGCCCAACTGATGAATGAACGTGTGCTCCACATTTGTCACCCAAACATGATAGAAATGTGTTCTGAAATGTTATATTCCTAATAAATATTTGTAAAAATTAAGCGAATTCTGAATTCCTTAAGGACAGTCTCATTTATTAAGGTTTTGAGGAAACTAAAGTATATTGACTTGTGTGTATTTTGTTATATTAAAAAGAAAAACCAAAAAAAAATTTTTTTTTTTCATTTTAGCTCAACAGTAAAAATCAGGCTCTCCAGAAGACCACTAATTCATCCCTGGAGGAAATAATGGATAAAGCATATGACAAGTTTGATGTTGAAATAAAGAACGTGCAGCTACTCTTTGCAAGAGCAGGTACAGTGCTGGTCAGCGTTTGGAACGCTGAAATTGGTTTGAGAGCTCTGGTCAGATACATGCATGTGCTTGTGTCCGTATGTCAGCCCTGACAAGGATTTTGCACAAATAGCCCCCACTGGTGCTTAAAACCACATAGGAGCGTGCTGGGGCAAATCACTGTCACGTTACAAACTGAAACAGCATTTGCCTGGCCGTCCTAGTCACGCGTTGTAGTGCTGGGACCCCAGTCTGCTCACCTGCTGTGTGTTCTTAACCGTCAGACAGCTCAGTGCACGGAAAGAAGCTGTGGTTGGCCCTGCTCTGTCCTGATGCTTCGGGAGTGTTTTCCCTTCTTGCCTTTATTACTAAATATTTCATTGTATTACCCTTGTCTATTGCATCTTCTACTTTTATAGATACCTGAGAAATAGGTATCCACAAAATAATGCTAGCATCACTAATTCAAAAATCGTAAAACCCAAAGTGCTCTCAGTTGAAGCCCTTCTGAGTGCTAGCAGAAGGACACCACACCTGGAGCAGAAAGCCCCCTGGGGCATGTGCTTACTAATAACCGCAGTCCACGCGACAGAGCATGCTGCATCAGTGCCGTCAGTGAAGGGGTGCTTAAGGCTGTTAGCCAGCAGGACATCTGCCTTTAAGGGTTTCTTCTTTTGAAAAAGTGATGATTGCACATTCTTATCCTAAACTCTCGCCTGACACGCATTGTTGTGCTTTGCCATCTCGTGTGGAGCAAGTGTAAGTGCTGCTCGTGGGGACTCTGTAGCGTCGCCGTCCTCTCCCCTTTCTGCTTTTTTCCCACCATAACCACCCGTCTTGATCACTAGCTCTGGAATTGAGGTAATTCCTGTTTTTTATCTGCTTGCTTTGAAATGCCAGAGTTGTCATATAAACATTTTCAAACTATACGGAATTACCTTTATATCACAGTCTTTGACTGCTGTCAATCTGCATTAAAAGCACGGTCCTTGTAGCCCAGTAGTAGGGTGCTTGCCTGGCATGTGCGAGGCCCTCAGCGTGGTCCCCGGGACTGCAGAAAGGTCTTGTGTGCTGAAGGAAGTAGGACTGGGTGTTCACTGACTCAGACCCTTCACTGTTTTTTACTAAGAGCAGTTTTTTGTAAAAAGCTTACTAATGCGTTGAGTCATTTATTTAAAATTCTGTTTTTAAAGAGGAAAACTGGAAAAGGCGTCGATTTCAGCATCCGTCAGCTATGCACGTTTTGCAGCCCATGGATGTCCACGTGGAGCTGGCCAAGGCGATGGTAGAGCAGGACGTCAGGATGGCCAGGTGAGGTGGACGTTCTTTAGGGTTCAAGACCAGCAGAGTGGACCTTACCTGTATCAGCTACTGGATAGATTCTGTGGGAGAAACCGAAAAGAATTAAAATACATTTTAAGGAAAATGTTTATTTGAAGTACATGTAATCTCTTGAGAAGTCTTTGTCTAGACTTTCATGTAGCTTAGAACTTGGTGATCTGTGTTTTTCAGTGAATCCAATTCAAGGTTCATTATCCATGAAATAAAAGCCTCAAAAATGATGAGCGTATTTTGTCATGAAAGATACATGAAATCTCGTGAAAAATCAAAGGGGATAAAAATTAAAACTGGGGGGCCAGGGAGATAGCTCAGTAGAATAAACATTTGCCTGGCAAGCACAAGGGCCTGAGTTCAATCCCTGATTCCACAGGTGGAAAGAAAAAATTAAAACTGGATTTTGATCGGTTATGCCTCTCTTTAGAAAAACGTTTGCTCAAGTGTAGCTGGCATTCAGTAGGCTGCTTTAGTGGAAATGGATGATGTGGTAAGTTTTGACATCAGCGTATCTGCCAAAGTGTCACAGGAAGTTAAAGAACACATCTGTGGCCTCCAAAAGTTCCCTTGAGCTCTTGTGTTTCTTCCTTCCCTTCCCTGTCTTAATTCCGCTCCCCTCAGCCAGTCTGTAGACATCATCACTGTTTTCTGACACTGTAGATTGTCTAGAATTTTCTATGAATGAAATCATAGAAGTTTAGTTTTGTTTGATCTCTTTTAGCATAATTAGCTATTCTTTCATGTTGATGTATGCATCAATAATTTCTTCTTGTGCTTTGTAGGTAGCTCTTAAACCAGCCTGTCTTACTAGATAAACCTTACGTGGTGATAATGTATTGATCTTTCAAAACACTGTGGGGCAGAATCTGCAAAATATTTTTAGGAAGTGTTGTACCCACAGTCACAAGGGATACTGATCTGTGTTTTTTTTTTTTTTTTTTTTAGTATCAGAGTGGTATTGGTCCCCTAGAAAGCGCTACAGAGAAATGGGTGTTTCTTATGTATCTGGTAGAATTTACCGAGAAAGCCATTGGCACTTGGAGTTTCTTTTTGAGAAAAATTTAAGCTACGAATTTAGTTCATTTTATAGATTCATATGTATTTAGATTGTTTTGAATCATCTTTTGAGTGTTGTGCAAAATGTTTTGCGTGTTTTGTTTGTATTTAAAAAAATTTGTCTTTGTAAAATTATTCATGGTCTTTTCTTACTATCTTTTTAATACGTTAATAATCCTTAGTAATCTCACCTCTCTCAATTCTGGTATTAGTAATTTGTGTTTTCTCTCTTTTTTTCCTATCCATCCTATTAGGGATTTATCAATTTTCCTTTTAATTTAATACAGGCTCTACAGGGTCTCATTACACAGGTTGAGCTCATAGTGATTATCCTGTTTTCAGCCTCCCAAGCGCTAGGATTATGGGCTGGCGCCACCATGCCCAGTCTCAGTGGCAGTCCCAGGGCGCCTTGGGGTGGGGCTGGCACAGCATGCCGGGGATCAAACTATCAATTTTTTATATTATGGTTTCAAATATTTTCTCAATTTGGTTTTGTTGTTGTTGCCCCTCATTTCCACCCTGATGTGTTACTGTTCTGCTTATTTTGAGCTTCATTTGCTTTTCATTCCTCCTTTCTTGAGGCAGGAGTTGAAGATACTGGCTTGAGCTTTTCCTTTTCCCCACGTAGGCCTGGAGCGCTGTGAAGTTCCCTCTCGGTGCTGCGTCCCTTCACGCTGCCCGCCAGGCTGGCAGCCAGGCGCCTGCACACTTGCACTGTTCTGCACACTTGCACTGTTCACAGCTTAGCTAGGAAGCCAGAGATGACTTAGAGCAGCCGGATGAGCGGCAGGCGGCTGCTCAGAGCGGCTGAAAAGGCAGCCCTGGAGCTGGTGCGGTGGCAGGAAGCAGCGAGTGGGCTGGCGGCTGAGGGAGGCAGGCTGGGACGCAGTGGGACCGGTGGCTGCAGGGAGCCCGCAGTTCAGTCAGAGGGGCTGGGAGGTAAGCGCGCACGTGTGTGAGTTGTCAGGTGCTCCCACGGGCTGTATATTAAAAAACCAGGCAAGGAGCTAGAGAATGATAGGTCAGGTACTCTTTTCTATTGATGATTAATCTTTGAAATTTCACAATAAAGTGTGTATGGAGGTTGTGGTTTTAAAAGTAGAGACTTGTGTTTAGAAGGAGTTGTACAAAAGTCCTTACAAATTTGTCTGGTTAAAAAGGATACCTGGATATTAAGTTACCATGCATCTTTGAATTAATTAAGCTACCTGGAAGTTTGAATTGGAACTTCGGTTAATTGACAGTGTTGTCAGGGGAGCCTGGGATTGGATGGAAACGTGCCCACAGTAACATCGACTGTGCTTTGTTCCCCTGCAGTACTGATAGGCTGAGCTTGCAATCTTATGGCTGCGCTGTATTTTTAGGTTTAAAGTATCAGGCGGACTTCCTCTTTTGCACGTGAGAATTTCTGACCAGAAGATGAAAGATGTGCTGTGTTTGATTAACAGCATACCTTTGCCGCAGAAGTCATCTGCACCGTCTGCAGAGAGGCAGGTAATAGAGGTGCTGGAGCGTTAGAGCTGCTTGCACACAGCCGCTGTTACAGGTGGAGCGAGGAGGGCAGTGTTGGGGCACCCTTACGGCTGAAAGAACTGAAAATACAGAAATAAAGGGGAAATACGATGTGAAACATTTAAAAATCAAGCTAGAACTGTAAATCATCTTTAAAATATTGCAAATAAAATAATTGGGATAAAATTTACTTTTATGTTGGGCTTAACAGTTCTGGGTCACTTCATTTGGAAAGATCTTTATAGCATAAAGGAAATGTTGGGTTTCTGCTTACTTAGCTGGTGGCAGCCCTTTCCCATGTTTTTCACGGCAGCCTGAATGGCAAGCAGTGACGAGCGGCATTTCCTCCCAGAGTCACGTGTGATCTTGTCTCTCTAAGTGCACCGTGTGGCAGTCTTAGTTTGTAAATTCCAGCTATTAGTTGATTACATCATTTATTCTTTGTATTAATTTTTTTTTTTTTTTTGAGATAAGGTCTTGCTGTATTGCTCAGGCTGTGCTTAGACTCACTATGTAGCTCAGGCTGGCCTTGAGCTCACAGTGATCCTCCTGTCTCAGCCTCCTGAGTGCTAGGAGTACAGGCGTCCATCGCCGTGCCAGGCCATGATGTATTCTTTGGAAGACTGATTGATGTATGGCGTGTGTGAAGTTTTCCATATCGGAATATTATTGCTTTTCATTCCTGTACATGTGTATTTAGTTCTGCTAAATTAGATCCCTATTTGGGTTTTAACTTTCTGTGTGCTTTGCCAGGTATCAGCTCCTGTTACTTCAAGTGGGACAAAAGGTCTGCTTGGTACTTCCTTGCTGTTGGACGGCATGGATTCAGGTAAGGAGTATACAGTAGCCTTTCTGAGTGGTAACATGTTAAAAACAGCAGAGGTGTTGCGAACGCGTCCGAGCACTCTGCTGCTCGGCCCCACGTCGTGCTGCTGCCCACCAGTGGGATTCCAGCTACCTGCTTGAAGGTCCGCGTGCTTTAGGAGGCTCTTTTGGTGGTCAGTGTTTACTGAAGCATTCCGAGTAGCTCCTCTGTGTCCGATCTCGGAGAGAGCCTTTGTTCTAGTCACGCCTACTAGATCTTTTACAATTTCAAACTAGGACATAAGCTTACAAGGACAGTAAGTGCGTCTGTTCTGGCCACTCTCACATCTTTGGTGGCGGACGCAGCCTGGCCTGTGGTAGAGTAAGTGTCTCGTGGAGCACTACCAAGTGGCCTGGGCCACAGGTGGAGCCACTGAGGAGCGGCAGAGCTGCCCTTTGATTTTAAGCCTAGCCGCCCGGGGCTGAAGGGAGCGCTGCGGCATCCGACTCTGTGTGCAGAGCTCTGCTGACAAACGCGCTTTGCAGAGGGGACTCGGGCTGGGCCTCCGCGGCGCTGGGCGCGTGGCGGCAGGCTGAGTGGGCCTCCTTGTACCCTAGAGTCTGATGAGGAGTATTTCGATGCGGACGACGGGGCCCTGCAGACAGCTAAGAGCGTGCGGGGCTCGGGGCTCCAAAAAGCCGCGGAGGTTCCCAGCGAGGAGCTCGTCCACCTTCGGCTCAAGTTTGAAGTGAAAGAGGTACGCGTTCCTCCTGTGTGTGGGTGTGCCGCCACCGCCGGCGGCTCCTCAGCTTTCCCGGGGGACCAACGCCAGGGCACACACTCATATACACCATTTCAAAAAAAATTTTTTGTTTTAAAAAAAATGAGACACGGAGGGGCCAGGGAGATGGCGCACTGGATATTGATGTTTGCCTTTTCCCCAGTTTTTGTCTTTCACTGTCCCGTTGCTGCCAGGTTTCCCTCACACCGAGCACTCAGCATAACTATTTTTGTGGGCGTGTGCCCTGTGGGCTAGGAGTTCATGCAGGCCCTGCTGGGCAGCTTGGGTTCAGTCTCCTGTTGTCTTCGGTCGGTGCTGCCTGGGGTTGCTTCTGGGGGTGCGGCCCTTTGGCTCCCTCAGGAGGCAGCTGCTGCTGCCCAGCTTGGCTGGGGCTGCTGGTAGAGCGTGCTCCCCGGTCCCTGTCGAGATGGGCTGGGGCAGTGTCTGCTGTGACAGCTTTCTCAGAGTGAGCATTCGCAGGCCCTTTGGGAGTGTTCTTTTTAGAACCGCTTTCTCTGCTCTGCTGACCAAAGCATTCACAAGGCTGCCCAGGTTCAGAAGGTGTTGGCAGAGGCCTCTGCCTTCTGGTGAGTAGATGAAAAAATTAGCATTTAAGACCCAGTCCTAGCCCAGGTCTGGTGAGTGTGCGGAGAGCTTCCTGCTACCCTGCGCCGGCAGGACCAGTCCCAGCCCAGGCGCAGAGTGGGCCGGACCCTCTCCCAGCCCCTTGGGCTGCCCCCCACCACTCCGCAGTGCCTCCTCCACCCCGCCCGCCAAGTAGGATTTTCTGCTGAGTTCCGGGAGCCCCCAGACCCAGTCCT